GCAATGCCAGAGAGAGCAGTGCGTTGTGGTAGCTATCCCAGTGTGACAGTGGCTGCAGCATGCTTTTCAAATGTGGGGAAGGGGGTAGTGTGACAGGGAGTGTGTTGTGTGTATGTGGAGGGAGAGACTGTTTTGGGGGACAGAGAGTGTGTCAGCATGCTGTCTTGTAAGTTCAGACAGCGGCAAGGGGAAGAAGGAAAACCCCGACATCAGCCCCCACCCCTGCCTCTCTCACACACACACACACACACACACACACACCACCCCCTCTCTGCAGCAGGAGCATCCCACAGTAATGTTTTGCTGTGTGTCCCGGAGCAGATAAGCATGCCGGCTGTCAGAAATGGAGCTTTGAAAGGGGATATCCACATGCCTGCAGCTGAGTTCAAAACAATGACGAGAGTGGCCACTTGACTTCAATGGATTATGGGACATTTCCGGAGGCCAATCACAGCGCAGTAATGCAACACGCCCTCCACACTGACACCCTGGCAATTCAGCCAGGGCGCATCAAGCTCTATGCTTCTCATGGAGGTGGATTACCAGGGGTGCTCCAGCTGCGGAGTCCAGGCGCTATAAGTGCCTTGCCAGTGTGGACACCTCAGGAGTGAGGGCACCTGAGGCTGATTTACTGCGCTCTAACTTGCAAGCGTAGACAAGGCTTTAGTGAACAGCAGGATTACACAGATACAATAGCGAAGAGGAGCCCTGAGGCCTGTTGGGCTCTGCATATGAAACAGTGCCAGGTGCACAATCTAAAAGGGACTTTTTTATATATATTTTGATTCTGTAGGAGTCATCCAAACACCATGGTGAACCACAGTATGATTTCATTCCTCCCCCCAACTCAACTGTCATTTGGATTAAACGCCAAAGTAAGAACAGAGACTCCTCTGAAGCACCAGCTATGTTGCATCATCTCCAGATGTGAACCTTTCTTAAAACCATTAGATTAATTTACCTTCGCAATGTGGAAGCTCCTTATCCCAATCAACTCCATTTTCCACAACCACACATTTGGCAGAAGTAGTTCCAATTAATCTGTACCTAAAGAAAGAAAAAGGGTTCAGGTTTGTTACTCATGTAAGCAAAGAGCTAGTCAACCATCCAGAAAGATGGAACATGGTTTCTTTCTGCCAGTAGATGGAGACAAACCATTGAAAAAGGGATACATCTAACACCATAGGACCAAGGAACACTAGGGCTATGTCTACACTTGCCATTTAAGGGCCAAAATGTCCCTTTTTTGTGGTGAAACTTAGACATTTCACCACAAAAAGAAAACCACCTTTACGAGAGACAGACAGTTCTTTCTGCTGTTCTTTTTGCGCTGTTTTGAAAGTGAAGACACATTCTACCTGTGTAAACACCTTTTGGCCTCCGGAGGATATCCCACAGTTCCAAAAGTGACTACTGTGGCCAGCATCTCCACTGCTCTGATGCCAGGTTAACAGATGTTAGCTCCTCCCTCTATAAGCCCCAGGAAGTTTGGGACTCCCTTTCCTTATAGATGTGGCGGAAAAGCAGCCAGACAGCCTGGCGGGGAGGGGGGGCGGGGGGGAAGTGTGGTTAAAAAAATGCCATGAAAGGAACAGGGAAGTAATGGGGCTGCTGGGACATGAAACAGGGCAGCACAGGGGACTGAGCAGGGACCCAGAATGCCTTCTGCTCACGCCCCCATCCCACAAGTCCTATCGAGAGACCTGCACTGTGGGATAGCTGCCCTACAGCACTGCTCTCATCCTTGATGAAGTGCTGCTAGTATAAACACTCTCTGATGCCTGAGGAACTGAGTACACAAACCAGTGCTTTTCTTTCACTGGTTCCCTATCACCAGTGAAATTTACGGTGCAAAACTCTGCAAGTGTAGACATACCCTAAGGCCATGTCTACACTACACATCTATATGGGTACAACTACCTTGCTCAGGGGTGTGAAAAATCCATACCCTTGAGTGACATTTATACTGGCCTAACCCCCCCACATAGACAGCAGCATGTCGACAGGAGAACTCCCACCAACATAGCTATTGCCTCTTGGAGAGATGGATTAACTATGCTGACAGGAGAGACTCTCCCATCAGTACAGGAGCAGCTTTATATACAACAGTAGAGCTACGCTGCTGTACGTGAAGACCAGGCCCTGTGTAGTTAAAGGCAATAAAGAGTTATAAACCAGAGGATATAGCTCCCAAAAGCGTTAGCAGGAGAGAGTCCTCTCTTCTGGGCTATGCTCATCAGATGCTTGGAAATACTTGTTAATCCTCGGCAAAGGGGAACAAATTACCCCTCTTCTAAATTAGAGATTTTTGCACTCCCATCTCCAGTAGGTGACAGAAGGCCCTACCACCTCTGCTACAGAACTCTTTAAATACTCAGAAAACTAGTTATTTTACTGCTCACTGCTCACAGTGCTTTGACATGGAAAAAGGGTTTGGACTTGCTGAGTAGGAGACTGTCTCACATACGATGTTTCTAACATGTAGGAGGACGTGTGGGAGCCGCTGACATTCTGCACCTTAGAGTCACTCTGCTTTTCTCTGCATAAGAACTAAAAACCTCTTCTCTGCCCTGTT